ATGAATGAAAATTCATTTCATTTCATTCACGGTAGTTAAGCAGGAACTTCTATGGTACATGCCAGGTTTTACATGATGTAAATGGCAGCTACTAGTGGCATGACGTTGTGGAAGCGTCTGAACACTTGCCACCACGTAGGGAGCGCGTTTAGCGGATGAAAATACTTCGTCTTGTTGCATGGGAGACCGATGGGGAGGAGGAAGGGTTCGGGAAGCTGGAGGGTGGCGTCGGACTGTTTTGCGGAGGACGATACGTCGTCTTGAGGCCAGGAGGGGTGCATATTGTTTTGGAACAGTTGGAAAAACTCTAAATTGTGCGTTGTAGGACACACATTTCAGCAGCCTTCGAGAAGCCGTATTGGGGTTTGAACTGGTAGTTAAGTAGGTGAGCGGTTGGAAATGAATGGGAAGAGGGAGGAGGGTACCATGTCATGCGAGTGCTTAACGACCTCGAATCGATAAGCTAATTCTGCACTCCTGTATCCTACGGCAAATCTACATGAGTGTCGTTCAGCTGGTAGACAGGCAAGGAGAGCATGTACCTTTGACCTAACAAAAAGCGTATAAGATCCTACACATTGCGCGCCGTGTCAAGTCTATCCTGAAGACTTTGGCCTCGACGTGAGATGAGACGCGCTCGTTGGACACGTTATCGCTCATGCTGATTCCTCGCATACCTCACCCATTCCATGAGCTTCCCATGTGCCGCAAAAACCTTTGCAGGAATAGAATCTCGACTCCTCTTCTTGCCTCCCTCGCGACGATCATGAACTTTTTGATAAGATCTTAATATCCCCCAAGTTCTTGTTTGTGCAGAGGGACGTTCAAATGTGGGGTAAGATGTGTATGCTAGCCGGAAAGGGGCATCGTTGAACTCTTGTGAGATTGCTTCGATGATAAGTAGTGGGAGAGCTCCGCGGATTAGTGAAGAGACAGAGTGATTACATCACATGATCTCAAAGATAAGATTCTCATCATTTCTGTCATCTGTCACCCCCTTCACTCTTGTCAGCTTCTCAGGGTCAAAACATTATCATAATCTTATATTTTCTATCCGTCTCAATATTGCATATTCCTTCTACATTACTATTTCATATATATATTGAATTTAGTAGTTTAGAAACCGGTAGGCTTCAACCCTTCGCAGTCGGAGAAACATATCTGTATCAACAGTGTCAACAACGTGATACTCATCTGGTTTCTCAAATTCTGGAACAATATATGCACCCCGAATGATGGAGCCAACAGGAATAAACTCTGCCTCACGACGGTGTTTAGCACGAAGATGGATAAGGCCAAGGTCCCGCTCTTTTCACTTCAAAAGTCCTGTTGGTCCATCTAATGGGTGAACTAGTGCAAAAGGATAGGGTGTGTCTGCCAGTGTGAATGTGAAGATGAAAATGAGGCGGGCAAATATGAAGACATCTGATGCAGTTGACATCTTCACCATTACACAGTCATAGCGTGGAGCATTGTTGAAAGAGGGATTGCAGCGAAGCAGATCCGTCTCCTTACGCCATGTCACACAAGACTCATAATGAATGTGGAGATATCGAAATTCAGTGATCTGGATAGTTATTTTTCACATTTATCAAAACTATGCAATAAATGAGACTTACTGTCGTATGCTTATCGACTGTGAAGTATTTGTTCTCCGGACGTGGAATATTGTGGACAACACAGAATTGATTGAGGAAAGGAATTAACTTTTTTCGAAAGTCTTTGAATGCAACATCTGTGTCCTTGAGTTGCATCTCAATGTTGTGAATTGTTTCTGGGGGTTGTTTTGCTCCAATCTTCAGTTTACCGTTTTTATATGGATTGATATGTACTTCTTCCTCAGATTCTTCCTCCTGTGATGTCTTAGAGGTAGCATGTGAGGCATCATAGACATCAATGCGCTCTCGAATGCAAAGTGAAATGAGACGCCAATGATCAAAGGTTAGAATCTATAGATAAGTGAGATTGGTCATTTTTCATGAATTTAAAATGGTAAGAAATCACCTGGGGAACAACATCCTTGAAATTGGTTTGACGGAGATAGATTTCTCGCAGTGGGCCATGCATTTTTTCATTTGGCTTGGTACTTGTATTTTTTGTGGCACCTTTTTCTTCAATATCATCAAAGATATGCTCAAGGGCATGTCGCTTGGGGAAACTCCAGTTCTTCAAACTTTTTCCATCCTTTGGTGGTGCTCTAGACTC